AATGATACCTATTTCTATTAGGAAATATAGCAAGGAATAATTTACATATAGATACACAGGAAGGAATAATTTACATATAGATACACAGACATGCATAGATGCTAATGCCAACATTGACATCTTACACATGTAACGTACATACAACTCATGTCACATAGAGCTGTCTCTGAATGATTGCTTAATGTTGAAATATAAAGTGCAAAAACATATTAGTCTTCAAAATAGTGAGACTTCCCCCCGCCCCTCCCCCCAGTCTTCCCCATCTGAGTTCACAGACTATGGATTTCAACAAGATTCACTAACTCAGCCAGGAGCTCTAAGTCTGGTTGAGTCTGAAAGTCTTTATAAGCCTCATACCTGAACCCTCATGTAGCTTGACGGATACCGAGAGCGTGCTGCCTCCTTTCCCGAATGCTCCTTAGATTCAGACTCAACATCAGCGCTTCTGTGATGGTGATGGTGGGACTTCTGATCATGGTGGCCATCCCTTTTCCTGGCTTCTGAGTCAAACAAGACATGGGTTAGCCTGTCCAGATAGTTCTCCAGCTCTTCCTGGCTGTGCTCCAGTTGTTTGCCGACATTACTGGGGAAAAAGGAAGAGGGTGGTGGGGAGCTTTTGCTTTCCCTCTCCTTCTTGGCCTCTTCCACATGCGGGTTATGCCTCATTAGAAGAAGCACGATGATAAGCAAGACCAGGCAGAGATACACAACCCAGACTTCTTCCATCTTGGTGGCGAGATACTAAGGAGCTGGTAGTGCCTGTTGACAGACTCAAAGGGAAGAAGACAGACGGGCCAAATACAGTAGGGTGGTCAGTGCTTCCCAGCTGTCAGTGTCCACAGGAAGGACTGTTGGCAGTAATCAAAGCACTGTGGTAGCTGATGTCAAAGTTCAACTTGCTAAAGCCGTGTGGCTTACAAACCTTCCTGCAGTTCTAAATATGAAAGCAGGACAAACAGTGAGCGGCAAAAAATTTCAAGCAAAGAAAATAACACAACTTTGTCCTTAGTGTAAAATAACTTCAGCAGAAAGATACAAGATCATCTGTCACAGCTCCATACGATCTTAAAATAGCAGTATTTCTCCTCTTTTTTTGTTAAGGAACTGCAGGTTCAATGCTTACTACTCTTCAAATAACTTTCCTTCTGTTACAGTGGTTGAATTGTTGCCTTGCTTGAAGTGGTAAGCTTTTCTTCTTTCTAAATTCAAAGAAAAGAAAAGTTAGGATTGGGGTTTTTCACCCCAAAGGAAGATAACAGAATATTTTATCCTTCAGAGGTCATTAGATGCCGATTCTGCAGTCTACTCTCAGAGATCTTCAAAAAAATTTAAGTAGCAGAAGGGAATATTAGTCACCAGAGTTACAGATTCTGTAGGACCAATTTGTTGGCTTCTTTCTGTCTTTCCTGGTCTTGGGAGAGGGAGTCCTCATACAAGCGGCTGCTGGCACTCAGGAGATAATTGCAGCTGAACTGTGGGGGGATCCCTTGGAGACCCTTTGTAGGCTGTTCCTCAGTGACTCTGCCCCCGATTACTCCAAGCAGAAGATGGGCAGCCCAGGGACCAATAAACGCGTTTCCACTGACCAAGCCCAAGGGAAGGGATTGGAAGAACTCACCAATTAACGCCCAGCATCCAGGTTAACAGCCAAAGCGTAAGCAGGGATGAGCAGCTGCCAGGACAGGGCCAGTCTGGGAAGGGGAAGGCTGGCCATCGCCTGCTCTCTCCCCCCAGAGGCAGTGTCTGTCCAGAACGGGATTGCGTTTCCTAACCTTTGCTAGGGGGATCTTTTTACAGATGAGGGTGCCAAGCCTTTTTAGGAGCAGAGATCACACCCAGATTTCTGCTGCTTCTGGGTGGAAACATTCTTGGGCTCACCCTGACACAGAAACAACTCCAAAATTCTTCACTTTGTTCCCAAAAGTGAGACCTTTCCTCTGCTTTGCTACAGTGAATGGCCTGAGAAAGACTATAGTGTTCCTTCATCACATTACTCACTTCACAAGCTGATCCGCAGCTTTTACTTTTTCAAGACCAATGCTATGGAGCAAGTTTTGCTCTAGAGGCACTGGTGTACTTCACACTCCCTTTTTGCATGGTCTTTAACGCATTCCTGAGGTCACAACCCCACTGGAAGACCTTGTAAGCAGTTTGCTGGCTACAAGCCTAGGCCCACACATTTAGGTGGGCAGTCACTAAAGAGATACTGTACTGCAAATCCAGTCCCCCCTTCCACATCAAAGGCATGGCACGAAGTCGAGAGGAGGATACAGAGACAGGCAGGTCGGAACTGAGCTCAGTTTTCAACCAGAACTGAGCTATGTTTCCTTAATGCAAGAACACTGGAACAGTGAACTCCAAGCAGATGAGAAGATCTCCTTTCTCCCCCATTGCTGTACGTCATTAATGCCTTTGGGCACAGACCATACCTCCAGCCACTTGTGGTAGAGTAACTGGTAGAGCAAAGCCCTGACCCAAACCTGACACTGTTGTAACAAGAGACGTCACTATAACCCTAAACAACACTGAAATCCTGAAGAAAAAAAAATGCTAATAGGAGGAATCATAATTTTTTAAAAAATGTCATAAAGCCTGCACTGTGGCTCCTCTAAAGGGGAACAGCCCGACGGAGCAGCGACAGCATTTCCTAACTTCTAGTAACATTGCTTGCTTCCTTTCGAACAAGTGATAAGGCAGCAGAGATGCTTCCAACATTGCAAAGCTTAAGAGCAAAATAAAGACTGGTATAATTTCAGATGCAAAATACTAGAGTTGCCTTTTCAAGAAACAACTATTAATGAAATAACTCGGGCACGTCTGTCAAAAATGCAGGAGGCATCACCTTGGCTATGAAAACAGCCCCACTCCGGGCACAGAAAGGCAAAATGCCGTGTCTGAGGTCGCAAAGCTGACTTGTGGAACTGACTTCGGGTCTTGCACTTCAAGTCCACAGGTCATGTGGTCACACTCAGGGCTATGAAGTATTGCATTGATGAACATTTGCCTTCCGAGTCCTCCAATACTGAAACACGGCGAAAGGAGTATGGGTTGGTTCGCAGGTCAGCATTATGTGAAGACCTCTGAAAAACCACAGGAGCTGTTCATGTTCATGTTCAAGAATGCATTTTTCTCTGCCCTCTTCGGAGATAAACCAGATGGATTAGGTTACACCAAATGTCCACCTCACTGGTATCTTTATTCTAATTGTCAATCCCTAATGAATAGTATAAGCACATGGCAATTATATAAGAATGCTACTCAGAATACTCCTGTAGTCTTCCACAGCACAGAATTTTACGTTTTAGCAATTCTAGCTTTACCTGAAACAGGACAAGGAAAAAATAATAACTATTTCCCAGACACATTCTGCATAACCAGCTAGGTAAGAAAACTGCTGTAGTTTCAAGGTCATGTACAGGATGCTCTTTAATCTTAGTAAAGTTTGACAATGACATAGCTTTTGTATGTTCAGCATGAACTCCTGGAAATCCAAGAAATACTGTATAGTATTGTTCCATACAGTCAAAGTTACAGCAATGCTTCCCAGCAAGTAAAATAATAATCGGCTAACCTATTGGTTTCCAGTTTTAACCTACTGATTTCCAGAAAACTTAAAGTCTCTGCATATTTCTCCTCATCAGATACATTAACCAGGTTCACTTTCTCCTTATGCCTAGACAGGCATTCTTTAAAATATTTAAAACAAACCAAAATATCCTTGCAGATGCAACTGACTGCATCAGAGCTTAGTAATATACTTTTTTTTTTTTATCCAACAACAGGTTTTTTGAAGTCTTTCCCAGCAAATGCTTTCCACCATCTCTCAGCTGCTCTCAGTACACCCTGGAATCTGCCTACACTCCCGTTTCTTGCTTCTCATACATGATGACTGACTGGACTATAAAAAGGAAGGAAAGCACTGCACCCTAGGGACACCTGATACCACGTTTCCTTTTAAGGGACTTCTGTTCCTTCAGCTTTTTTAGGCTTAGTGAGGAAGATTTTTCTGCAGGAACACAGGAGATGGGTTCAGTGGCTGAGGCAGTATCGAAACACTGGGGACACACATTCAACCACTCAGAAAGCAAAAATTTAATACATATCAAATGCAAAAGAGTCTTTGGGCTCTCACAGTTCATTTCACTGTCACCCAAGGTTTGACATGCAGCTGATTTATCCTCTGAGTCACTGGTGGTTGTAACGGGACTACTTATAAAGTAAACTTCTTTTTTTAAGAACTGATTGTACATCCTTCCTGGCTGGCCAGAACCTGGCTTCAGCAACAAAAATGTTTCCCTCTCTGAAAACAACTGTCCTTACATCCCTAGGCTAGATTAAATCAGCATTTACAGTTCTCTTCTAAGTCTATACCTGTCAATTAAAGAGATGAACGAGCAAGGATGATTCTCACCCATTTTCCTCCAAGATCCTGAGCTCATGCTCTCTAGATGGCAGTGATGACACACACTGCCCAGTCCCTTCCGGATACCAGAAGCTGCATTCACAGAGACTCACATGGAATGGAAGCATTCAACTATCCGTTATGCTTACACTGCTGGACCTTCACAGAAGCTGGATCTTCATTACAAACCATTCTCTGCTCTATGCATCGCTGCCTCACCTGCTACAAAAGGTCTGCTCTACTTAAAATCAACAGAACGGGAAAACTTCCCAGTATAAAAGACAGATTCTTAGGTTAATGTCAATTCTATAGGAAGAAAAACAGATTTTTCCTGACTCTGAGCTGATCTTTTGCATAGGTGCCTTTCTACAGTGTGAGGACAGAGGACTACTGCGGAGGATGAGGCTTGGGGTCATACATGTAGTAGGCAGATCTGTTTTAAACTTCTAGATAAGGCACTCTGAAAGAGGATCCTTTCTTTAGGAAATACAGAGATTCTTGCATAACATTTTCTAATGCATAGCATTCTTCCACCGTTCTTAAGTTTATAGGAGATTTGGCACAGTTTCTAGCCACAGTTTTAGTCTAAAAGACTTCCCTACAAGAAATTAAAGCGAAACTCTTCTTGGGAAGTTGTGAATTTGAATAAGCCTGTGTTAAGTGTCCCGGGTGACTCTGAAGGAGATCCCGCTGAACCTTGGCTTTTCCTGCAAGCTCCTGAGCACTTTCGGATGAACTGGCAGTTCTTGTTGCGGGTGGTTCCCTTCACTTCCACAACCCTGGCAGATTTCACAGCTTAAAGAGGGGAGAAAAGAGCAATAAGAGATATTTAGTCATCTCATATAGTCAGGTCTCACTCTGCAAAGCAATACGGAAGGCAAGAGTGAAGCCCATTCTTTTTCTCCTCTTCCCTCACCAGGGAAGTTTCTCCTACCTGTTTCCATGAGCTTCAGCTCTTTGCACCGCTCCTCCTCCATCTTCTTCCTGTAGTCTCCAAACATGGTTCTCATGAGCTGACGTTTCTTCACCAGTGGAGCCTTGTCATTGCGCAGCGTCTTGATCGCACGGAGAGCCTCCTCGACTGAAGCAGTGCAAAGGAGAAACAATGCACAGCTTAAGACTCCCCGCTGGCTTGGCCCCTGCAAGCTGCCAACCCGTCCCACAGGGGAGATCTCTTGTTCACTTGAACACTTACCCTGCTTTGGAGTGGCTTTCTGTGTCTTCAGGCCAAGTTCCAGCTGTTCCACACACCAGTCCACCTCTCTCCACAGATGGTCATCTGACTGCTATACAACATAGAGCAGAGTGAACATGAGGGAGTAAGTCATCCAAAAATTAGAGCGGCAGTTGCTACACAGGAAAAAAAAAGTACCTGCATAAAGTCAAGACTATTCCAAATTTCATGTTCTGGTGATCACTTTATAGACTTCTTGACATTTTCCCTGTCGTGCTTTTCATTGGATAAACTTAAAGCAACAGACAAATGTGTTTAGTTGCAACTCACTGCCTCTATTTGATGGATTTAATATTTGGCTGCCATTCAGATGGTGCTGTTTTCTGGAAAGCTGTCCAGAGCCTTTCCTCTGAAAAAAGCTGTCAAATCAACCCACAGATGGGAGGCATAAGCATGAACAACAAAAAAAACCCCTACCACCAAACCCAACTGAAATCAAAAAGCAAACAACGGACAGAACCAGAAACCAAGTCTTGGTGTCTTGGCTCCTGCGTGCTTGCTCAACCAGAAATGGGTGAGGAGAAGGAAGCTGAAGCCCGTGAAGGTGGATGAAGCCAAGTCCCATCATGCAAAGCCAGCTGGCTAATGAGCAGTGGGAAGGGAGAGGGAAACAGGGCTGCAGCCTGGGGCTGATGCAATTCTTAACTATTACGTAAATACAAAAGCCCTCATGCTGTCTCCTTTTCCTCACCACGGTCTCCTTTCAATGGACTGGAAGGGCTTCACCTCACCTTCACGTCTTTCTCATTCTGGTACTCAGCAGTGTTTATTAGTAGGGTTGTGGGTGAAAGAGCACTTTGGATGGAATGCTCCAAGAGGCAGGTGAACACTCAGTGCAACTTCCATGCAGAATATTAACAAAAGTAAGCTTTTTGTAATTTTGTATTTCAGTATTGCTCATCTGACATTGGTTGTTAATAACAACTACACCAGTGCTGAAAAGAAAAATAAAATGATGACCTGGACCTTTAGCAAGACATTAGAAAACCACAGGGTGTGCCTTAATGGTGTGTTTACATGTAACTTGCAACTTCAGTTGATTTCTGGGCTATGCCTTACAGCGGGAACCTTCTCAGAAGCACCCTTCAGCTTTGCACCACACCCTGCCACAACCGTGCCTACACCAGGTAGCAGCTCTGCACCTCAACTTTGCTATTTGCATTCTGTGAGCAATTCATCCTACCCAGTAACATGCAACTCAGGGGTACAGTGCCTGCTTCTGCATGCAGAGATACCAGGTTGGCAGTGACTGAGTGCAGTTACCTGCATTTTTTATTTCTACATTTTTAAGAAAACATGGCACCCAGCTTCCTAGGACCAGCCATCGCAAATCTAAACATTAAATGTTTCAGCACAAGTCTGAAGTGGACAACAAAGGATTATTAACTTTTTTTCCACTAGTTAGGTTCCTCAGCTGCCTAGCAAAGAAAGAAAACAGCTGCTGTAAGAAATAAGCAGCAATCCTTGTCTTTCAGCTTTCATCTCAAGTACACTAACTGTTAAACTATGCAAAGAGATAAAGTTTCTCTTTTGCTCACGGGCTTATAAATTAGGGCATCCCATCAATATTTAAATACCTGAGAGGTCTCATCCTGGTGGGAAGTATCTTTGTTCTGACATTCGTTAGCTTCTGCCTTTGCCTTCCTGTTGATGTCAGTTTCTTCTGTCTCCTTTTTACTGACAGATGTTTTTTGCTTTTTCTTCTTTTTCTTCTTCTGGGCAGCTCCATCTGCTGTTGATTTCTCTGTTACTGTCTCATCTCCAGGAGCAGTCTCTGGTTGAGGGATCTGTAATGTGACGTGGCTTCTATCCTCTTTGGGTGCACTACCTGCAGTTTGAGTCAATTCAGGCTTCTGCAAGGCTGAAATCTGCAGCATACCTGCTGATTCAGGGGGCAGTGAATCACCCAGCACTTCATGATTTGCTGTACACTCTGTATATTGGCTTGCAGGAACTGATGGAACCAGAGGACAGTCTTCATCTGGGATGGCAAAATTGAAAGCAAACTTGGGTTCTTGCCCAGAGGCAGCAAAACCCAAGGCTCCATTCCAGTTCTCCTGCTTGGTGGCTCTGGTTTGTATCTGCTCAGCACCACTGACACCAGGGACTGCTTCCAAAGATGTGCCAGTTGTTTCTGGGTCAATCTCAGAAAGTGTAAAATCAAATTGGAAGCTGTTGTTGGATGACATGAACCATTTCGGGTTTGCCTCGGAGATGTGGTCAGATTGTTTCCCATATACTACACCATCTGGAGCCTGCCCATTGCTCTGCTGTACTTTCACGTCACCATGTTCCACATCTAGAAAAGATAAATAATGTTTCTATCAATATGCCAGTTTCCTACTATGAGGATGCCACTGCTACTGCGACTGCCTCCGTAGGGCATTGCCACAGAGAGCTGATCCAATCAAAAGCCGCAACGTAAGAAATCTACAGAAAAGAACCAAATATTACCCATCCCCTGAAGGGACAGTTAAAACTCACCTGCCTTCTCCATGCTCTTCTGATCCTCAGCCATCTTGAGACAACAGTCCCTAAACACGTGGTCCATCACTTGTTGCTTCTTCACAAAAGGAGTTTCACTGGAGCGCAGCACCTTGAGAATGCGCTGTGTCTCCTCTGCTGCACTCAAGAAAAAGACCGAGAGAGAAAAGAAACAGGTTACGGTGGGCCTCACATACCATACTGTGAGATGCTGGTGACTGGGTCTCCTCTGAACATGTTCTGTGTTCATACCACCTCTGACTAATCCACGACTGGCATTCAATTGAAAGTAAACTCCAAATGCTTCTGGAAGCTGAAACACTGTGAAACATTCTTAAAGGGGGGGGGAAATAGATATTAACTGCTTATTATATATGTTAAGAATCTTACACTGCAGTAACTGCCCTACTAATGGCACAGAAGCTACACAGGGCTTAATAACCCTTCCCCTAAGGGAAACTTGGTGTCTCTTCTCTGGAAAACTGGAACAAATCTGACTGAGTAGTGAGCACACCCTGAAAAGCAGGACTCTTGCTTGACTCTCATACAAACTGCCCCGCCCACAACAGTAATCCCAATTCTTTGTGTCAGAGCATTCTCTAAAAGCATCGTTGTTCTTCTGTGACAGCGGTCCGCGAAGACCTCAGTCTGGGAACTCCAGATATGCAGAGTCTTCCAGTGTTTGTCTCGTGCATTTCAAGCCACAAAAAAGCTTGATGTTCTAGACTAGCATTTCAGAATGGGCAGGCACCCATCTCTCTTGGCTGCAGTGCATCTCTCTGGGACTCTCCAAGTGAAGTGTATCTTGCAGATCTAACACCGAGTGCCCCACGCTACAAATAGAGTAACAGCACACATGAGGCAGAAACACTGCAGTGGGGCTGTAGCCATCCAAAAAAAGTGGGACGTGTCTTCATAGCACCCAGGTGTCAGGGTCCTGAACACACATTCCCCCCCACTTCAAGGAGTTTAGCTGGCTGAATTCAAGGCCTGCTCACTAATAAGCTCTTTCTTTAAAGAAAGAGCTCGAAAAAGCTCCAGGGGAACCTCTTCCCTCCCTCACTTGGGAGTTATTCTAAGCTGAGGATCTCTTGCATAGTACTGCTGCAGCCAGGTACCTCACTGATCCAGACCTCGACTTGCTGGGTAGAGCTTGGATCTGCCTCACCACCGCAAACTTCTCTGGTGAGCCAGTTACCATCAGTGGTACTGCTCTGCTCTCCTGGGTCAGGTACTGTGCAAATGGGCCTTTTTCTGGCCAAGTCGTCGCCTCTGCTTGCCTTGTCACTGTGCTCAGCCTCTGCCTCCCCTCCAGCAGCAGCTTAGCCTTGCTGCTGCTGGACACTAGGTACAAAGCACAAGATATTAAACACTGCTACATCCTCAGGTGCACCAGCGAACACTCATCTAGGCATCTTACAAAGGGTAGTCACACCCTTCCTCTAAATGTTAAGTACTAGCCATCAGTAGGAGCAGGACATGTGTCCTCATATATTTACAAGTTGGACTGACTAGATCAAACTGTAATTTCTCCTTGGAACAAGAACAGTGAGGAACAAGCTTCACAAACACAAACGCAATGGCATTTAAGGGCCGGACACCCTGACACTGTGTTTCCGTAAGACTGGAAAACAAAAGCAAAGCTGTTGCAGAACCAAACAACAAATGGGAAAATAAGAACTTGAGAAAAAATACAGGAAACAGGAGTGAAAGATAAAGCTGCTTCCAGACAGACAGTTCTTAAAAGTTCAACGCTTTATGTTGTTTTGTATTTAGAACAAATCCCATATAACACAAGACTAGGAAACAGATGGGAGAGAAGCAACAGAAAAACATCCAGGTCTGCTAAATCAGAACTGAGGTTGGAATATGGCTGCAGACTGCAAAAGAGGCAACATACCTTGTTTTGGGGTTGGGTTGAGGCAAAGGAGATTTGCCTCCAGCTGCGAAATGCACCACTCCAGCTCATCTTGGAACGTGCCTTGGGTAGCCTTGGACACCAGATGGGGAAGGCAAAATGTTTAAAAGAAACACAAATCTCTCACCTGCAAAAATGATTCCAAAACTGAGTTTTCTGAAGTCCCCTCCCCTCTTACACAGGACATCAGACTAGTGGGTCACAAACCCCTTTTCTGGCTTTATGCTTGAGGCGTGCAGTGTGACAGCTCCATTTATACCACAAACCAACACAGCACAGGCTGGCACGCAGGCCCTGCAATATTCCCTCTTTGGAGGGCACAAAATGAGCTCTCTTCACTTTAGGGACAATAAACTCTTACTAGCAGTAAAACACCCTCTCCCGGCAAGCCAGAATTTCCCACAGATTGTTTTTTTTTCCTCCTCCTCTCATTTTAAAGGGTCCGAATGGAAGATTTCTCTTTTTTCCTGAAGCTTATTCTGTGGCGCGTCTCCACAGCGGGAAATTTCCCTCCAGCACAGATCTGGCAACACACAGACTCTACCTTTACGCAGAACAGGGGTCCCTAACACCACCTCTGCCGCCTTTCCACCCCGCCTGCCCGCTTGCTAAAGCGGCTGCATGGCACGGGCGAAGGGG